GCCGATTCTGCCATATGAAAAACGCTACATGTAAAATGAAATAATTAAAATTAAAACGCCATTATACAAGATTTTTTTTTGCCATAACATTCAAATAAATTTAAATTCACTTAGATAATTTGAAAATAATATATACAAGCATTTTATTTTAAAAAGTTATACTTAAAGATATTTTTAAATTATATTTGAAGGAATAAAAAGCTTTTAATAAAAGCGATAGCCAGTGCTGAATGTTATCACAATTGAGTTTTATTGTATATAATAATTAACTTAATTGGAATAACATTCAGCATTGGCTCTCAAAGGCTTTTTACTCTTTATTGATTCAATTTATTAGAACCTATAACGTTTCTATCGTTTATATTCAAAAGAATAAAGCTTTTACATATTCTTTCTAAATAATTCTGTGCAAATGAAGAATAATATAAACAGGTGCTATCGAATTGTTATTTGACTTTTCATTTACGTGAACTATGTTTTATGTGATTTTTGAACTATAGATTTATATTGCAGAACTGAAAAATTATTTAATAATGCTCATAAAAATATTAGATATTAAGCACCAAGAATATTAGATATTAATTTCAATGCAGTTTCAATCGTATTTCCTGCTCCTATATTTATTTGTATTTACATAAGTGGTTTAATATATTGTTGCTTATTTGTTCCTTAGATTAACAAAGAAAAAAGATCAAAATTTTTCAAAGTTATACAAATTCTTATATCTTAGTTAGAGGTGCCAAAGGGTTTACGGGTTTATCGCCGTGCGATTTAGTTCATCAGGACGAGAAACTAATACTGTATCAGCCCACTGATACAGTATTAGTTCCTTACCCTACAGGCTCCTCGCTCTAATGAAGTGAACAGGTAAGTTCACGACACATTGGTATTAGCAATGGGTCACCACACGGCAATAATCCGCAAACCCTTTAGCATGTCTGAAGAAAATATCCGTCAAAGCCTCAAAAGTATTATCAGCTTATACTTTAGTACAAAAATATATACTTGCTTCAACAACAGCACGTTTGGCGCGCATTTTGCTTGTTAAATCATCATTTATTTAGTTATTAAATTCCCAAGTCATTCCTTTTTCTTTTTTTGTTTATTTGTTTCTCATCTGTTTCATTTATCTGTTTCTTATTTGTTTCAATTATCTATTACGTATTTGTTTTAACTTTTTCAACAGAAAATAATATAAATAAATTTATAAAAAAAATATTCTACTTTCATAGTTTGTATGTAAATTTAACTTTATTAATAGCTACAAAAACTTAATGCAATGTTTGTTACAAGTGACGTTAATTGATTGAATAACGAGTAATTGTTAGAAGCTATATATGAACAAATTTGGATGAATTTCGTACTTACTTTGGGCAGCGCTGGACTATTCTGCTTAAAAGTGGCGGACATCACCAAAGGTGGTACAACTGAACGATGATTCCACTGATCAGGATCTTGTCCGGCATGGATAGCTATCGTCGCGAAACCTTTTTTCGTTGACGTCATTGTCAATTCGGTAAATAAAATGTTCTGCGAATATTAATAAAAATATTTTTTCTTTTTAATTCGTTATAATTAACAGAAACATTGTTTGATGAATCTCCTGTTTAGGAAACCCCGTTCATATCATTTTGACTTGGATATATACGGGGTCCCCTAAACGGGAATTTTACCTATTGTTTATCAACTTTAATATATTTATTAGTAATGATAATCAATATAATAATAACTTACAACTCTGGCGATAAAATAGTCTCATCAAATGCCGAATTAACGAGAATTTATTTGAGGGTCGCTAGCGAAATTGACTTTTATTGGTGTCGATATCGCTGAATATCTGTTAAAACTGACTGTGTCCTGATCGGTGATGAGCTACTTAAGTAACTTGTAACTATCGTCAACCGTATGGCCGATAATGCAACCATATATCATGATAATATAAATGTTAATATAATGAAGTAAGGATATGCGATACGCGCATTAAAATACACGCGACATATTGTCATGCGAAAACAATACAATTTTTTACGAAAATGTCTGTTATGTACAAATCGCCTCTATATAAGATCGGTATTCATAGCCGAATCTTATATTCAAGACCATCTCAAATACAGTCTTAAGAAGTCGCGAACCAATCAGAGGGCCATATTAGCGTCTTAAGATATTACTTAAGACAGTCTTGAAATAAGAACGGACTATGAATACCGGCCTAAAAGCGCTTTCTAATCGACATTTTTGCAAAAAAATCAGTTTTTTCTCGCAATAATATATGTATTTTTACCGTATCGTTACAAGAAGAAAAATAGAGAATATACAAATTTAAATCGATATGTCATATTAGGGATGTGATAAATAATCGTATAAATTAAAGTAAGATAAATTATCAATAATACTAATTGTATAAGGTTGTAAGAATATTAAAAATATTAATGCATGCTGTCAGTATTACCGATTCAATATTATAATGATGAGTATTATTGACCGTGTAGAGTCATCATAATACAACACACACCATGATCTACGATCGTACGAAGTTCGCTTTATGAGTTTATGCATCTTAGGCGTGCCCACGTTACACTATTCATCATAGACGTACGAATCATCAACGATGCAGCTAATTTTGCAGATTACATGCACATATCAGGTGAGCATCCATCGTGCTTTTGATGCACCCAAGCGAAAAAATGATTAAATAAATATAAAGATGATCCGTAGACTGAATGACTCAGATTTCTTGTCCGCAGAAAACAGCGATTTCCATCCCTTTATTGATGTAGAATGGTAATGCGGCACTTAATTTATACACCATGATGATCAGACTTATACTTTATAAAACATTTACGATCATTCTTTGCTGATCCATAGAGCTCTTTTCGACGTGGTAAAAAATTTTTCCATGCATGAATTTTTCGTGCAATATGTATAAGTATGTATAAACATACATAAACATTCATAACATACATAATTTTATATGAAATATACATGTTCGTACATTCTTCTTTCTTTTATAAAATTACGTTTTGTAATAGAAATGACAATGGTAATGTGAAAACTTTAAAGATAATTAAAAGAGTAATTTTCACATTATTTTAGAAAAAATCAAATTTGAAGAAATGTCAAAAAAATTACTTCTGTATAATTATATATAAAATTTTGCATAATTATGTATAAGCAATTTTTTTAACATTTTACCAAACTTGTTTTTTTCTAAAACGAACAATGCGAAAATTATCCCTTCAATTATTTTTTATGTTTTCACATTACTATTGTTATTTCTATTACACTAAAAAATAATTTTACACACACAAAAGAAAGAGAGATGTATGAATATGTGTGGATATATTTCATGTATGATTATATGTATTTTTGAATATTTATGTATGTTTATACATATTTATACATACTAATGTATGAAAAGTTTTTTACTGGGGAGCAATATGATGATACTTATCACAGCATTAAATTAATTAAGATCTTTCTAAGATGCTTATGAGCATCACAATATTATTAAATTGCTTGTCAATTTAATTTGTGATACTGCTACTCTAATTTTGTTAGGATTGCGTTTCAAAGACTGATGAAATTAAATTCGACGCGCGGTTTGCAGGATTGAATATGAGTATATGAATTCACATCGAATTATTTAAAGATTAAAAATCCAGGTTGATCGTTTAGGGCCTTTATTCCTTATTTGTTGTGTATTTACGGTCTTAAAAGATACTTTGTTTAATAATGAAAGATACTTTTGATACTTCATTGTTATACGTGTAATTAACAAAGTGGGAAGTTCAAGCATCGCAATGTCGCAGTTCAAAATTTCGAGAATCGTATTTTAACGATTAAGGCGACGAGCCAATCGACGTCGAACTACGCTTTTTTTTTTGTCGTCTTTATGTCACGTTATTTTCTCGTTATTGTGTCATCTCAGATAGCAGAGAATTCAAAAATATTCAATCGTATGTTCTGAATTCATTTTCTGATGTAAAAAGAATTTTTTTCGGAACTTTTTATAAAAAGAATTCTTATCGCCTCTAAAAATAAATTCAGAATTGACATATACAACTGTATTCTTTTTAAAGTCTACGCTTCTAGAATTCTATCCTTGTTTTATATTTAATAATAAAGGGGTGCCATCTACTTAATACTGTAAATGCTTCGTTGATCAATCAGAAGAAAGAATTTTATTAATTAAAGAATGCTTCGAAGTGTTAAGTATACTTGATTGCATAATCGCACGTAGAATTATTGAATAGCTCCCTGTGGGTCCCTATTCTTAAAAAGAACCGTATACGAAAGACTAGGAATATACTATAGTATACATAACGTACACTATAGTATTTCCCTAGTTTCTCGTATACGTTTCTTTTCAAGAATAGGGATCCTGATGGGTTCCGTAAAACACATGATGTAGCATGTTATCCTTGTTTAAAAATTCGCGAATAATGTTAAGGATAAAATAATACATCGTGCATATCATGCATTTTACAAAATACAACCAGTGCTGACAGCATATTCAAGACGCTCCTCGAACGCACCCCCAAGCTCCAGTTGTTAAATGGACCGGTTTTCTCACGCATGCGTGTCAAGTGCAGTTTCAGTAAAGTATCTGTTGATAGTAAAATGAGGTGCATTAGTCCATACATTAGTTCATACAAAATTTTCTAAAAATTTTTGTATATTTTATACGTTTTACACACATACGTTACATATATTTATTTTCTTGATTTTTGCTTCTTTTCCGTTTAGATCTATTATTAAAATACATAATCTAGCGATATGAGGCTACAGTCGGTTCGAAATTCGTAGTATTTAAGAATTTAGCGCAAGAGAAATCAGATTTTTAATCAGTTATCCCGACAAGATTTTACAAGAGATTTTCGAGTGAAAAGGCATTATTAATTTTATGAATACAAGAGAGAACCAAAAATGTAAATTTCAAATGACTAAGGTAAATAAATTAATTGTGTCGCACTGCACTCCTCATTAGGGTAGAAATCTAAATGATCGTCTGTTTGTCAATTCGAAGCTGTCGTTGTTGCCTCCGCGAGTTTGGTGGATCGTCTCGACCCTGATGTGATCATTAACGCAGCATCGATCATGGCATCGGTGGTGAGGGTAAACGCTAACAAGGGTGCAGAATTCCATCAATTCTACGAACCAAAACATTTACGTTTTTGAGAGAGACAGAAAGAAGCAGTAAACAGGAAAAAGAAACTCGAAGCATCTGTAGAGATGACAGGAAACATGGAAATCTTTGCGTCGTTCGTGCTACTCGTTACAGAACTGACCCTCGGAGACGTACTTAATAACCGAGACACTGCCGTAGTGTCTCCTGATATATTAAATCTTAAGGATCCCTGCAATCTATGCGAGAACACACTTACTGGTTTTCCAAATGTATGTGTTAACTGTGTGTAATGCTGAATTTTATGTGTATATTTGTTTATTTTTGTATCTTATATTTGTTTGTACAATCAATCATTCCGTTTTAGAGCAGCTACATAAAGTCCTGCTGTCAACGAGGTTGCAGGTTTTTCAACCTGATCGACTCACGTTACAAATGGGAGGAAGATCGTTTGAATGGCACTAGGAACGCCTGCGAGGCTTGTATGTGGCATCTATAACTGTGTTTTATCTTTTAAGAATTTAAAAGGATTTGATTTCGCAATTTTCAGAGATATTTGTTCACAGTAAAACACAGTTTTATTACGTTTTATTACATATATATATATATATATATCTAGAAGAATTTATATTCTTTTTTTCTATAAAGTTGCTTCCGTATTATTTTTTGTTGAGCCTGTAACTGAAGCATGTAATTTTACGTCTTTTGCGTAATATGTAAAAGTGCTTTTGTGTCATTTGTGACAGCGTGTTCCGAGGCTTACATAAATCCGAATGATCGCTGTATCTGCAATATTGGCTGTAATTTCATGGCCAAGCAACGAGTTTCAGATCTGTTACCTCTGTTCACTATCATCACATGTATGGAAAAAAGTACAGACATTTTACCTACGCCGCCCGACATACCGGAAAATGATATATTAACTGATCCTGGATTACGCAAGGAACTACTTCCTAGATGGTGGGATGCTAATGGCTTCAAATTGCCACAGACTCATGTTAAAACCATACCAATGGACGCCAGGGTAACATTTTCTACAATTAATACTAATGCCAGTGAACGACAACTTGGTAAAAACACTAACAATAATATTACATCAATATTATAATTTTTTATTCACCAATATAAACGAATAACACATGTTATACATACCAGTTACATTGTTAAGTAAATTATAATATTGATATTATATGTTATTGTTAGAAAGAAAGTTGATGTTTACTGGGAATGTACAATACATTTGATATAAATGTGAAATGCGCTGATAAAATCGTAGACCGTGGATTACACTCAAGCCTCTGATTGTTCTGAAGAAAGTAAACAACTGGCATCTACATCTAAATCTAAAACTTTTCAACGGGCAATGAAATTCTCTTTCGTTGAGTATCTGTGTTTCAACTACATTATAGTTGCTTCAGCTTGTCCTTTCGTCGCCACAATAGGGGTTGCAATATTGTCATATTATAAGAAAGTACAGACGTTATATAAATATAAATTTTATAAAAATATCAACTTTTCGAAGGATATTATATTATTCATGCCAAATGAAGTCGTAATGTACAAAATATCTCCACCTAAACGTCATGATGAATTATCCAGTCGTTCCATTTAAATCACATTTCTACTTTATGCGAGATGTGATTGTATCGTGTTTTAAAAGCCTTAGCATAATGTAATAGTGCAATGATACAAATGTTAATTATTGTAAACATCTCTTTATTTTCAATCGCGCTTTAAAAATTTAGATTGTATTTACAGTAAGTGCTAAAAAAATTAAATTAATCCTATTATTAAATAATGATATTTCATATTTAGGATGTTTAATAAAATCTAATATGAAGTAATAATCATAAAATAGTAACGAAGCAAAAACAAGCTCATTCGGCAATATATAATTTCCAAATCAAACTGTATTTTATAAAATATCGAATTTTTCGGAAATTTTTATGTTGATAATTATATTACAGACTGAGCTATATTAGGTTTCGAAGTATATATATGTATATCAAGGAGAATATTTTTAATATAAAAATTTGCGAAGCTTTTGTCTTTTCTGAATGCAATTGCATAATTTGTATATGTATATATTTAAATCGATATAAATTAACATACAACGAACAAGTTCAAATTTGTAGAAGAAATAGACGTAAAACTAATGACAATATAGGTACTTAATCAAAATATGTCATTTGATTTGATCGCTCTTATTGTTTTGTGGGAAACTATCATTGAAAGTCGATAAATAGTACAATATATATAAAATTACTGAGAAGGGTTTGTGCAATATTATATTTTAATCTATTTATAAAAGAATATTGTATTATATATTGTATATATAGATATATACATATTTTATATCATACAAAGATTTATGTCACGTATCTTTCTCTATAAAAAGGAAAAAACTGAAATTTCTCCATACGGAAATTTTTGTCAATTTCGCACTCTTGCTAGATAGATTAGAATTGCATTAATTTGCAGTTTATCCGACATGGTACGTTTTGACGCTTGACACATTCATTATGAAGAATCGGTGCGACCGAAATCTTAAATAAAATCTACGAGAATTCGATTAACTTTACAATATATACATAAAGTATATCATCATACATATATACATATACGTGCATTTTATGTATATCTTTTCGGGATTTTTATAAATCATCACTGTGTACATATTAATTAGAATTTATTTGTAACGTGTATATATTTAGATTATATATATATATCAAACACTCAATTTCAATTTTAATTGCGCGCGATGTGATTAAAAAAATTCTTATTATTCCTTATTCAAAGAGATATACAAGATAGTAAAATTATGATATTGATACGCGTTACATTTACGTGTTACTTATCATATTTATTGAAAGCCTTCCATCGTAACTCGTATTTATTTTTGTAGATCAAGAATTGTACATTTTATTCTCACACGGAATAACAATGTAACTAAGCTTTTATTTTTTCATTTAATAGAACATCAAAACGTGTTTTATGTAAAAATATATTAAAATTCTTTATGTAACAATTGATTTTAGCATCGCGATGTCTTGAAAATATCAAACTAAATGAAATTTATATGTAGTTTAGGAATATATGTATATGTATAAATGTACAAGTTCCTATTTGTAAGACTTATACTCTTTAAATTAAATCTCATTATTACCGATATACTAATATAAAAAAAAAATTTGCGTATTCCTTATAATGTAACTTATTGAAAGTAACTAGAACATTCCTACTCTCTATGCATATCTCGAAAAAGTCTTGCAATTAGTCTCTGGAGAATGTTATTACAGTGTATGTATAAATATCAAAATGTTTATTGCATAATAGAAAAGTACATGTAAAATCAAAGTATTGTGTTCTTCAACTAGTAGTATCTTATACAACTATATTCTACAAATAAATGTATTTATGTATGTAAAAGTGGTGAAAATAAAATACAAGTTTACGTGACGCAAAATCGCGCACGTCGATGACAAATCAGTCGATGATTCTCTTTTCCGTTTAACATTCCCAACTGTTATTTTGTTAGAACAAACTGTGTGTAGAGTTCATGATATAAGTTTAAATTTAATATTAACAAGTAACAGTTTGTAAATAGAAAATATCTGCTCCTTTTTACAAAATACCGCACATGAAAAAGGCGGAATGTACATTAAGTGTATATAATCGCAACGTGTACATACATTTACAGATCGATATCGGTTTGGCTTGCGATAAATTGCCCACGGGAGATCTTAGCAATATGTCTCATATATCTGTACAATATGGAGCGTGCTTAAAATCGAATTAGATTCATAATTTATGGAAAAATCATGCATAAAATATTGCTAAGATGAAATGTATGCAATACATCTATATTATTGCTAATAGTTGGAGAGTTCCGCGCTTTTTCAAATAATGTGCTGGTCTAATCCCAAGGGATTTAACAGTAAACAAAGTCTACTTCGAATATTCAGTAAAATATTGTTATTAAGGAGCACATATCTTTACGATATTCTTATTATTCGTAAGAAAGATCTTAGCGATGTACATCATATATACAATATGGAAACCACCTAAATTAGAATTGTGTACAATCGTAATTTAATCGTAAATTTAATCTATAAGATTTAATTTATGAAGTATAAATTAAATCTTATAGATTAAAATACGTACGCGATATAATAGAGATCAGTTTCAAGCAAAATTCATAAGTATTATTGCCAATACAATTCAGGATCGTCCCTGCGAAACTGAAGCTTCAAAACATGTCGATATATTTTCAAGGCAGGACCTAATAGCAAATTAAGTCCGCACACAACGTCCTTTCGACTCATCATTAGAAGTGCGTGACCATCTATTTCCTGGAACGTAAATGCGGACAACCATGGTATATCGGAACAATTATGCAAAGAATACTTTGTCTATCTAATAAATTAATTAAACTCTTACCTGCTGCCGGAAGACTTCGGCGTCCTTGGGAAATAACCTAGCGAAGTATTGGTATACTTGTTCAGAAGTCCAATTTCTTGCATCAGGAATATTTAAATCAATGGGTCCTTTGGGACCGTCTTCTTCCATCTGATCGGAAGAACCCCTCATGGGAGAAACCTGTGGACTTAGAACCGGCGGTAAGATGGTGGTACTTGATGGGCTGTCCGGTCTGCTTGTTCCATTGATCGAATGAGTGTTTTGACTATCATCTATTTTCATTTTGCTCTGCTGTTTTTGCATACACTCATTGCAATACCATTTAGTGTTCGATTTTATCGTAACGCGGGACGGATGACAAAAATAATGATAAGCGTCATCGCAGCTGTAACAAGTCACTAATGGACCCTAAATAAAACAAAACAATTATTGGAATGAGTAAAAAAAATCATGAACGTTATATGAAATAAAATGGAATGTAATAAACTTACAGCATCAGATGTTTCGCAACATACTGTGCAGGTTTTACAGCGCTCGCATTGCCAATTGCTATTGGCTTTTTGTATCATTTCCTCTGGACTATAAATGCAACTCGGATGTGCTGCAAGTATACGTAATACATATAAATGTAATAAAAATATGTAATAATGTCGATAAAAAGTTTAAGAAAAATTAATTGATATTAACTTTAATTATATTCAAGAATTACCTCGCACTGTGCAATCTCTGCAAGCCACGAGAGCTTCTTGTTTCTCTTTGGCACAGAGACTGCACTGCCTAAATGGTCCATCCTTGACAGTTGCTTTAGTAGGATCCTGGTCTTGCATTAACGAATTTTTATGACCTGGTCTGCCTCGTTTACGCTTCACCAGATTATTATCCGAAGGATCAAATACTTTCCTAGCTCTCTAAAATATAAAAACAATAATACAAATTGATATATCAATTTTCACCTGAATGATTTGCCAAAGAAAAAAATTTACTTTCAAAGGAACTACATTATAATAATTTTTCATTTTCTTAAAATATTAATGGTATCTTCAATCTTCTCAAATATCCTTTTATATAAATCAATTTTTCTCGTTAATATACAAACAAAAGTATGTATCTGTGATCATCCAAAAGTGAGTACTTTAAAAAACAATACTATATTTTACTTTATATCAAAATATGTATTACAGCGGAACTGTACCTTTTGTGTCAAAGACACCTTTCAAAATATTTACAATATATCACAAACACACTATATTAACACATAGAACGTCTACGCTACCTTTCTTCTGGCGCTGCGAAATCCACCAGTATTTATATTGGACGGAGTCGGGGATGTGTTTGTCGACGAGCTCCTGCCGGCATCGTCATCCTCGCGATCTTCGCTAGATCGTCGACCGGTTTCCTCATGTTTCTCTCGCTCATCCTTGATCTGTTGATAGTCTTCGAACTTAATCTCTATGTCCATACGGTCGTCCGTTCTGGCAAATAGACGTTGCTTGCGCTCGGCCTTGGCGGACCTTTTAAGGTTAGACGTAGTCTTCTGGACATCGTTGCTCTTTGGTTCGTCCTTGACGATACTGGTGTCGACGGTCGTTGACGTTGGCGTAGCTATCACCAGAGAATTGCGTTCCCGTTTATCACCGTCGACGACGTCGCCGTTGCATGCCACCTCGACGGACGCGATGTCGCCGCGTTCGACGTTTTTCTTGTCGTCGACCTCGTAGCATTCCTTCTTGATGGAATTCTGCTGCTGCAGTTGCCGATCCAGTTTCGGACTATCGTTGGCTTGTCGCGAGGAGGATCGCGATGTGTTAGACGTAGTGTCGGTAAGGTTATCCGTCTCGTTGAACTCGTAGAGCTCGGCCGCCGCCGCCGCTGCCGCCGCCGCTGTCTTGGTCGCTGCCTTGGTCGTTATACCGTTGGTGCCATTGGTGAGGGTGCCGTTGGTAGCAGCAGCCTCCTTACCGACACGCCGCTGCGTCGCGTTGCCGTTCTCCAGGGCGCAGGCGACCGCCGCGGAGGAGGACGGCTGCGAGTCGCCGCCGCGTCGCGACGGTGTCGCGTCCGTCGTCATGTCGGACGTCGCCACCAGCGAGTAATTGCCGTTGGACAGGCGCGCGAGATTGCCGCACGCGACCTCCCGGCCGAGAAACTCCTCGACCACGCGGCGCGACGTCGGGCTCGAGACACCGTCGAGTAGCTGCTCGATAAGACGACCGGCGGGGACGCCCTGGTCAAGATAATCGGGCTCCTCGACCACGAGCTCGGCGACCGCACTCGACACCATGCCCGAGTTGAGTTTCTCCTTGAGAA